TTCGAACTGTCTCCCGTCTAGGTCGATCTTCCAATCAGGTGTTGAAATATACACTGTTTATTTCTGTTTGATTCTATTGGTCCTCGATAAGACGTAAAATTTGGACTTAAGGGCTTGGAATACTTGTGTCAACTACTATTTACTATAATTAATATACTTCAAAATTACCTAACTAACATGCAGGATCTTGACCTTGGGTCAGGGAAGCCAACTCGTGGGAGTTTCCCCGAATCCCGCGGAATTTCACTTTGCGTGGGGAATTGGGATATGGGCCGTTTTTCTGATGGGAATTTCAGCTCGTTCAATTCTAGTATGAAAAAGTTTCAAATGGCCAAAAATTACCGTTGATTTTTTAGAATTTTCCGTGTCGCATTTGCTTTCATATAACGAATAAACATAATTTATTTTTATATGGAAGAAAACCGCAAAAACTTCGGCAAAAAAAAATCTAAAACGAGACTTGCACTTTATTATAATAGAATTGAGTGGGCTACAAAACTGCATACTCAAAATATTTCTAGAAAATCGAATTAAAAAGCTCGAAATTTTTACGAAAGTTTGTTGAATTTTTTTCATATATGTACATATTGCAAAAAGTTTTAAACTGGGATTTATATGGTATTTGTTAAGGAATGAACTATATATTATTTTTATAAAAAAAACTCAAATTAAATAACAAAAAATAATAATAATTGGTGCGACTAAAATTTTTTCGACCACTGTATGTATGTAAATATTATATAAACATTTTTTATTTTTTAACTAACTTTATAAAAGTTTGGTTGGGTTTATGAATACATGGATGAGTTACATAAAAAGAAAACAACAGAAAGACCAGCAATATATCAAAATACATTCTTTTTTTTTTGTAAGTATGGGTGTGGAATTTTACGATATTTCGGGCGAAATCGGTGAATTTTATTGTCGAAATCGGGAAATTCTGAAAAATGAGTTGGGCCTTGGGCTTACAACTTTCTCTTTGTTATTTTACAGGATTTTACCAACTTTTAAATTATAACACCATGAATAACGAGATACATATTAAAAAATTTAAAGTTATTGATTTTTTTCAAGAATAACTTTATAAAAAATGTAAGTTTTTGCTAAATACCAAAAAACGTTTTCCATTGTGTTGCTGAAATACTATATTTAAAGAAAGTGCATAACGTTTTGATGAATATTGAAAAAAGTATATTTATTTTGAATATCAAAGTTAGCCAATTTCGAAGGCTCGTAAAATCAAAGGATAAATAAAATAAAAGGAAAATTGGTTTTTGTACGCTAATTTAATTATTTAACTTATTTTAATAAAAAATGAGTACTTCTTAAAATAAATGTATTACATTAATCAAATTGACGCCCAATGTACACTTGTGATCAGCTGATTTTGATAAATTTTTGCTATTTTTCTTTTATTTATTTAATATTTATTACTTTTCCATAAAAGTTAAGCTCATCATATAACAAACACCATAAAAATCCACATTTCAACCTTTGTGCAAAAATTATGAACTATCTGAAAAATGTTAGCTAAATTTACAACTATATTTCAGATTTTTTAGAATTTTTTTGAGTATGCAGTAGCTCAATAATATTGTGCAAGTTTTCAGTTGCTAAAGAATCAGGTTGATTTTTTATGACTGCATTACAAATTTTTTTTCATACAAAATATATTCGACAATTTTTTTTGTTATATGAAAAAAGTGTGTCATGCAGTCAGTAAAAAAATAATTAAAAATCATCGCGATTCTTTAGCAACTTAAAACTCGCACATTATTACCTTAGAATTTAATGAGCTATTAAACTGCATACTCAAAGAAAACATTCTAAAAAGCCTGAAAAATAGTTTAAAATTTAGCAGACATTTTGCAGATTTTTTATAATTTTTGCACAAAGTTTGAAGTGTGGATTTGGATGGTGTCTGTTATATAATGAGCTAGGCTTTTATGGAAAAATAATAAACATTAATAAGTGTATATTCATAGAGAAAACAAAGCTAGACAGAGTTATTTGATATGAATACATTAGTTTATTACGAGTAATTTTTAGCAATAAAAAACCAACCGACTTCAATTCTCATATAAATATATATATATATGTTTCATAATCCAATGATCGAATCTAAACCAGATTAGTATGGGACCACCTTGGTTGACGTGGTCCAAAGTTATGCGGTATCAGACATAAAAATAAAAAATATTCCGACGAACTGATAACCTCCTCCTTTTTTGGAAGTCGGTTAAAAATATATAAGAATGTACAAACGAATATTAGAATTTATGCCACTAATAACAATTTTACCATTTTATAAACCATTTTTATACAAAAAAATCAGAAATAACGTTTATTTAAGGAGAAATTAAATAAAAGTAAAAAACTAATTGTTAAAGAGCGATTTTTTTTAACAAAAGTTGTAACTATTGCGGACCCTAAATTTAACACATAAGAAACCTATGTGCTAAATATTCGATTTGCCACACTAGTCACACGGGGTCCAGTGAACCCCAAACAAAAATAAATCTCTACAAATCGATCTGTGTGTACCGACTGACGTCACACTAGTTTTCCAGACGGCCTGAAATTATTGAATTAAACTCTAGTTAGTAACAGGTGAAATTACAAAATCGATTTTAAAGTTTCTACATATATAAACTATATAGCCGCAAGGTTGGACTGAGGTCCATTGGACCTCATGTGACCATTACGGATTAGATTCGATTACGAAATATAGAACTCTCAAAGGCAGTAAATTTAAGTGTGTATTGTTATTTAACGAATTATGGTAGTCTTTATCCATAACGAAGATATATATTTCTTTTCACAGGCAGTAAATTATAATAATAGATTGGCGCTTACACTATGTGTTAGTATTTGGCCGAGCTTTTCCTCCGATTTGTGGCCATTGCCTATCGAGGGGCGACCGCTGTTAAGAAAACCCCCTTTTTCTATATTTTTTTGCGATGTTGCTTTGACCAGGGCTTGAACCCAGGTCCAGCGGGGTGGAAGCGCACACTGCTAACCACTACACCAACGACTTTTGCCTTGAGATAATTATTAGCTCCAATTTTTTCTATATACATATGTTTTTTTGTTTGCTACAAGAGAACACCCTTTTCTCCTTCCACCCACCGACTTACTTCGTTATCCTTTTCATTGCGTAATTTATTAAGCTGCTCTTTTTGATTTTGTTCATCAGCAATCTGCTCAGGAGATATATGTGTTTCAATTTCTGGACCCCGATATTCATCATCTCCTGGACCTGCTGTCTCGGCAAGCACCTCCTGAGCAAGAGTCGTCAGCTGCCCTTTCAATGTACTTAGACTGCTGTTAAGCCAAGACATACTTCTATTACGTCAAACGCTTAAAAATCTTAACAATAGGCCGTTTACTTTTTTTAACTATAATATATTTTGTGTATTTTAATTAGTTAATTTATTTATTTGCGTTTCACGTTGACAACTTGGCAAAAATCGCTTTTTCTTATATGTATTTTGTTTTTATTGTTTTCTGCGAGCTGTCATAATCAGCTGTTGAACACCTCTGTTCGATTTGTTCCAAAGAAAACAATAGCTGTGTTTCTTGCGCCTCGGTCTAAGAACTAATAACGAGGGGGCTTCTGACTGTGGAAAAATGCACTGAAAACTACGTCTTCTCCAAATGCCGATTGGCGCAAAGTTCACAATAAATTAAATTAAATTAATTTTTGCAATTTTTCTTACTCTTGCTAGTAGTATTAAATTAGTGCTGGCAACCTCAATAAGAATGACCCAGTTCTTTTCCGTGAGACATTATCGCCATACTGAGCTGGATGGGTCAAGAAAACATGGCTAGGGTTCGAACGATACTATCGAACATACATACATACATATGTATACATATATGGAAATCTTAACAAGACGTAGAATTTAAACAGATTAAATTTTTTGGATAAGGACGAAGGAAATTTTGCAATATTTATTTATGAAAAAATTATATGTTAAGGACTTATAAGAACTCGGTAACATCCTCGAATTTCGTCCTTCTAACTTTCTCAGGTTAAAAAAAACCTATGCCTCCTTGTGAATCCAAACATTTTTTTATTTTTTTTTCAATGCTAAAGAAATTTCCTCTTTCAGTTAGTATCCATATTTTTATTCTATATTGCATTGAATTTTTTAAATCGTTTTTGGAATTAATCATATCTTTGAAATTACGAAGTCCTTTAAAATAAATGCTGACGCCAGAGAGAAAAAATAAAATCGCCATATGAAATAAAAAATTAGGTTTCAAACCCATTCAATAATTGTTTTAATATTTTTTAATAATTTTTGGACAGCTGGTACTTTTCTATATATGTACCTACATACCACGGATTTTGATACCTTGCATATTAAGCTATACCATAAAAATATTTGTTTATGATTTTTCACGTTTAAATAGTCAAGCAACAATGTTGGACACTTTTTCAATCTTCTGGCCCACTGTGCCCTTTACAGACCCTTAGGAAACCATTTACATATTATAAGTACATTCATAAGTAAATGAGTAATCATTGTTATTAACTGCCCTCGGCCATTCTGCACCACCATATTTCGCATATTACTATACTTTCGAAGTGGTGCTTCAGCCCAGCACCGACGACGGCACATATGTATAAATTTTTTTCACTGAAATTATAAATGAATAAGTGAACGTAAAATTAAAAATGTTATTTTAACTATGCGCTAGCACACTAAAAAACTATAAAATAAGAATTGACAAGCTTCTTTTAATGTTATAGTTAAATATTTGCTTATGAAGAATCGGGTCCTTTACATATGGCTTGACGAAGTCGGTGGTAACGTGGTTGAGTTTATTGTTTTATCTCGTCCGTTAGTTCGTAGAGAAGCCTCAAGAAATGCCTACTTAAGTACTCACATCTACAGTAACCTACTAGGAACTGCTTGCTGGGCATGAAGTAGTGCTGCCTTACTGGAGGCTTTTTCCCGTCAACTGCGTCAATGATTTTCCTCTAAAGTAGGTTTCTACAATGTTTTACTTTATTTATTTAACATTCTGAATCATTAGGTTAAGTTTGGTTAAAATTAAACAAACTGAAATCGAAAATACACCTTTCCCCCCCGAGTACTTGGTTCCTTCATGCTTTTAAAACGGCCGAGCCTGAGAACTGAAACCTAATCCAACGCCTCGCATTGTATGGGTTGCTTGACGCGCAACTTCATACTGCTGTTCCATGTTTGAGAACATTACTTCTCGAGTTTTGATATCAGGCGCCACAGACGGCACATTTTTCGGCTCAGCTTCTTGACTCTCCGCCTTTGTAGGGCCGCTACCTTTGATGCCCATTAAACGCATGAATTTAGATGCCACTTTTCCATCGGTATCTTGTGAAAATTGAGCATTACCCCATTTTGCCGCCGTGTCCTCAGATTTCTTAGCACCCCAAAGTAGTTTGCGTTTTTGCACTTGCTCAGCATATCTGTTAGGGTTTATAACATTTGGATTATAGTAACTAGGTAGTTGAATGACGGCAGGTTCGGCATTATTTAAGGAAACTGGAGCCACCGCAATCAAGTTAGGCTGTTTTGGCGCCGTATCACTAAGAGGAAGAGACAATAATGCTTCCGTACTACGTCCGCCCCCTTGCGACGACGTATGCACTTCTTTATCTTTGGATGCTCGGCTATCAGGTTGTATTTTACGCTCCATTTCAATAGCTGACAAGCGCGCTTGTTCTAGCGCAAGTCCTTCACGGCTGCGCTCACGTGAATCAGAACGTGTTGGGGTAGCGGAGCGTGATCGTGTGCGATGTCGTGAATAAGATTTTTCATCATGCATGGAGCGTTTACTATGGGAATGTCGCTGTGTAGGGGGAGGTGATGGGGAACGAGAGTTACTACGACGGCGATGGCGACCACTAGCTCGATCAGAAGTGCGATCATAGTGCTCTGAGTGGCGATGATCAAATGAACGATTGTGATTATGCTGGCGAAATGAGGAGGTAGGATTTTGAGATGACAAATCGTGACGTGAGCGTTCATCGCGGCCATTGCCGCTATGACGACTATTCTTGTATGAAGAAGAAGAAGAAGAAGAGGGACGATAACGATCGTCTTCGCGAGGAGGTCTACGGTTATCATGGCTGTCACGTTCCCGCTTATAATCATTTTGGTATTCTCTTGTGCGCGAACGATCGCCCTGGAAATAACAAATTCATTCAGGTACGATTTTTAAGAATGTATTGTATATATTTATATATACAGATGCGATCAACTTATTAGCAACTAAATTCAAAATGATATTGTTTGCAAATTATGTTTATGTATTTATTTTTAATAATTTTAATATAAATCTTAACTCAATCTAAAACAGAAATCACAATAAAAAAGTTTAACAGCTTGCACAAATTGCAAAAATTTTAATCAAACTTCAAAAAATTGTCAGCAAAATTTTTAATTAGAATATTTAGAAAATTTTCGGGTATGCAGTTGTAGCCCATTCCATTGTAGTATAAGAAAGTGCAAGTTTCTAGTCGTTAAAGATTACCGTTGATTTTTTGGAATTTTTTTTTTGTGGAGGGTTTTCGCATTTTCTGCCATAAAACACATGATCAAATTTTTTTTTATATGAAAAAAAAAACAGCAACACCCTCCACAAAAAAAAATTCTAAAAAATTAACGGTAATTTTCAACGACTTGAAACTTGCACTTTCTTATACTACAATTGGATGGGCTACAAAACTGCATACCCGAAAATTTTCTAAATATTCTAACTAAAAATTTTAAAATTTTGATGGCAATTTTTTGAAGTTTGATTAATTTTTTTGCAATTTGTGCAAGCTTTTAAACTTTTATTATTGTGGTTTCTGTTATAGGTCAAATTATATTTTAAATGAAAATTATTAAAAATAAATAAACATAATTTGCAAACAATATCATTTTGAATTTCGTTGCTAATTAGTTGATCAGATCTGTATATATATTTAAAGAAAACTTTACCTTGTAGTCAAATCGATTATTATCTTTCGAGTGTCGTGTGTCCCTCGGCTCCCTTTCGTCTCGATGGTCACGTACAACGTCACGACTATCTCGTCTGTTATCACGGTTGTCACGCTGTTTGTTGCGGCTAGGCAATGCAGACGATGTAGACCTACTGGCGCTACCATAGGAAGCCTTCTGCCTTTGTGAATCCTGTAATATAAAAGTTAGTACAAAGCACTGTAATATTAATATTTTGCCGAAGTATCTCTTTTTTAATATAATTCTAAGCTTAAATATATCCACTTGATATCAGTTAAGTTTTACCCATTCCCATCGAAATTTTTAGGTATGTTGTTTTTGTAAATAACTTTTCAAAATGTGTATATAATTAATCTAAAACCTGTAAGAAATAAATTACTGTTTCTTTTTGTTAATTTGGGTATACTCACGTTCAATTACAGCGCAACTCCTACACAGTAAAGTTACATATGTAAGTATGTAATAGGAACACACATAGAAAAAGTCTCCTTCGAATTTTTATCGCATTCCTATAAAAAATGTTAAGGTTTTTTTTTTCTTTCTGGTGCAAAATTTTTAAGTTACACTTTTTATTTGTGCGCTCCATTCAGGTCGCCGGTCTTTATATATCTTTTGACGGATAACCAAACCAGGGCTGGCGCTGGCTTGATTTATAGTTACGTAGGTGTGCGCACGTAGAGATGCAGATAGTAACTTTTCGACTTTTTATATATAACAATAACAACAAAAGTGGATAGTTTATTAATAAAAAAATTTCAATAAAAAAGTAAAGCTATGTATTTGCAAAAAATAATGATAGAAATGCCTAACGAATAGCGAAACTTATTATATATTAAATAATTTGGAAAAGCTTATAGATCCTAAATAAATACGCGATGATAAATACGTAAACAATAAAAAGGCTTTTCCATTAAATTTTATTGATTTTTTTTAACTAGCAAACTTTCTCTAGTTCTATAAGTTTGCCTTTCGAATAGCGGTTAAGGAATTCACAAAGATTGTAAAGTTCAGATTTAAAATTTGGACAAAAAACATATGTATATACTCATGATAAAATATTTTTTCAAAACGAACAAGGTCTATTCCTAATTTTTCTGTTCTCACGAAGAAAATTAGTGCCCGATTTTAAAATACAAAATTGGTTTACCGCAATATTAAGGATAAAAAAGGCTTACATATAAACGAAGTACAAACGCAGAAACACCACAAAAAGTATACAAAACCACTTATTTCTATATATGTATGATAAAGCTACAAATTTTTTTACCTCATCTCTGCGTGCAGTAGGTGTGCCGCGTGCACTACCGCCACCACTGCCGTCGCGCATCATGCTCGAGTCCATGCCATAGGAACGCCGTGATTTTCCAGGGCTACGCCCGCCGCTTGCGCGTTCAGCCTAAAGGAATTTGGCAACTAGTCATAAACAGCAAACTATGTTATTTTCTTTGAACTTAATATATTGCTAATTAACTGATATAGTATATCATAAACTACATTTTCTTCAAATCTACTATGTATATCGCGAAAAGGACGTATACATACAGAATAACACATTTTTCATCGACGCCATTTTTTATATTCTCATAAGTGCTATTTTAATTAAATCGCCAGCGTATTATATGCATAATCATTTATAAACTTACTGTTATACGATCCATCGTCTCCTCCTGCTCGTCTTCGCTGCTATAATTAACAAGTCCTTCCATGAATGGGATTAAAAAATTGCAGAAGCGAATCCGCAATTTTCCTAATTTACGAGCTGAATATATGATTGACAATTTGTTGGTAATCGAAATCGATAATTCAGTACTGTTCGTTTGTTTTTTTAAGCGTAGCGTTACCAGTCTTTTCCACCTTTTACCTTTTTTTAGTAAGCTTCCTGCTCTTCTTCTTACCTCATGAACAGGTAGAAGGTAGCTAAGGTGCGGTTAAACGTGGCAATGCAAGAACTTTTTCTACGCTTCTCTGTCAAAATGCGTGTAAACAGCAAGAACCCCCTGTATGCATATTTTTAGAAATCCCTTTCGGAAATAAAATTTGCAAAGTGTAAAGGTGCGGTTAAATGAAGCAATGCAATCAATTTTTCTACGCTGCGATATCTACTTTCTCATGTAAACAGCCAGAAAGTTCTTTTTGCAGATTTGCAGAAATCACTTTCGTAAATAAAAATTGCACGGTGTAACTGTAACTTAAGATGCGGTTAAACGTGGCAATGAAAGCGCTGTTTCTATACATTTCTCTGTAAAAATGCGACATCGGAATTCTACTTTCGCGTGTAAACATTTTCCTAAGGACAAAGGAAGTCTGTCAAAAAATATTACGCTCCGATATCTTGTGAACAAGCAGCCAGCAGCGATGCAGCCACTATAACAGAAGCGCTTAAGGCTGATTCACATACAACTTTCTTCGCTTTGCTTGATAGTTCTTTACTTTGACTTATAAGATCGATGTAGGCATATGCATGAGTATGCTCACATAAAAAACGTTTGAACCAAAGCAAAGCAAAGCGAAGCAAAATCTTGGGCAACTCTCAACTTTTGCCCGCTTTGGCAATTGCATCTTTTCACGTGCGCTTGCATTTGTATTTAATGACAAATCTAGGGTAAATAGGAAATTTTATTGCTATTATTAATGCATATTATCATATTGTTATCTATTTTACAGATAAAAAATTTGGAGGAAAAGGAGAACGCAAAAGCTATCAAAGCGTTTATTGTACAGGGTGGCGCAAAAGTAACCTTGCGATGGCGCTAAAGTAATCCTCCTATCAGNCATCTTTTCACGTGCGCTTGCATTTGTATTTAATGACAAATCTAGGGTAAATAGGAAATTTTATTGCTATTATTAATGCATATTATCATATTGTTATCTATTTTACAGATAAAAAATTTGGAGGAAAAGGAGAACGCAAAAGCTATCAAAGCGTTTATTGTACAGGGTGGCGCAAAAGTAACCTTGCGATGGCGCTAAAGTAATCCTCCTATCAGAAAATGCTATAAATTTTGCGATTGGCCCCTAATGTCAGTTCTGTTTTGAAATTTGTGTAGTAAACACATGCGAAATACACGTTAATAAACAATGTTACGCTACACTGCTCCAGAACGCGGAATATTGCTGACTATTTATTTGACTTTGGCACAACGCATCGCAAGGTTACTTTTGCGCCACCCTGTAGCATACCTTCTGCGTTTTGTGCTTTGTTGTCGAAGTTTGAACTGTCAAGCAAAGCGAGGAAAGTTGCATGTGAATGGCCCTTTAAGGTATCGAACTTTAATGCAAATAGGTAGAGAGCCATGGTGAAACGAATACAGAAAGTGGCGCTGATTGCAGTACCGCTCTCTTGAAAATTTTGACAAAAGTGTGACGTCATAGCTGAATTATTTTTGAGCACTAGTAATGAATACTAAGGGCCGGTTACCCAATGTCTGATTAACACTAATCTGCTGTTAAACAGCGTTATCGACGTCTTCGACTCCATGCATACAACGGGGAGTCTGTAACGTCGGTAACTATGTTTAACCGCAGATTAGTGTTAAACCAGACATTGAGTAATCGGCCCCAAATATTCATATTGCACCTATTTGCCGAAAAGTTGTACCTAAAAGTAGATACACGTACCTAAACAGTAAACATGTATTTTTATTTGCATAATCATGCAATGAAAATAAAAATTACATAAACGGATGATCAAACTTGACATTATTTAATAAAAATGTAATTTTACCAAAATATCGCAAAGAAAAATCGATACATTTTCACAATCGTTTTGCTATATCGTAAACTAAGTCGAAACTACTTAGTAGAAGTCTGAAATGTGACTATGAATAGAGGTAAATTTTAAGTTGGTACTTAAATTTAAGTTGGAACTTTGTTAGTTTCGACTTAGTTGCTGGACTAAGAATACGCGCCATTCATTATTGTGTGAGTAGTCAGCTTTGATGATTTCTTTTCGATTATTTTCAAAATGAATCGGTTAATCGCTCGATTAATCGAAAGGAAGATTTCGATACAATTCGTGAATCGTTAACCGAATGAAAATAGTCTCTTATTATCGGTTATTCGATTAATCATTCCACTACTAGTTTTCCCCGCGCACTTTGCAGAAATATTTGTCAATCGTCTATTGTTTAGTTCATCAGATATACAATTTTTGTGATGCGTATAACCAAAAATATGCCTATATTATAAAGTATTTAATTGTGAAACAAATTTGGAAAAGGCTAAAAAAATTCAGAATGGCAGATGATCCAGATTTCTTGGTTGCGCTGGAAATGCAAAGGCGGTGGAATGCAGAGCCGAGTATCGATTTGAGTAGTACTGCAAATAGCGATGATAGCGTAAGTTCAATGTTTAAAAAATAATTCAAATTTTACTTTACTTAATTTTTCAGGAACCAGAGATTGTAAACTTCAGCATGCCTCCACCATCAAAGAAACCCTTGCGAATTAAGCGCAGCAATCCCACTTCAAATCAAGACGAGGAGTACTTGAACCGCACACAGAATCTTGTTCATCCTCAATGGGAAGTGTTGGATCCTACTCCAGACATTACTGCGCTGTTTTCGGCCTTCGACGACAAATTCTTCCAAAGTCGCTTGCGATGTGTAACTTTGGAGTGGAGTAAACGTATGTATAGCTGTGCTGGAATATGTTATTCGAGGCGCAATCGTTTTGGAATGGATATAACTATTCGATTAAGCGAACCTCTGCTAAAGTTAAGACCACGCAAAGACTTGGTTGAAACTATGTTGGTTTGTGGTCCAAAATATACACTTGAATTGAATACTGAAACTATTCACTTATAGCACGAAATGATACATGCATACTGTTTTGTCTTGAATATTCGGGAAGGTAACGGTGGTCATGGCCCAAATTTTAAAAAGGTCATGTACGCTATAAATAAAGTGGCGGGCACCAACATAACAGTGAGTATTTTTTGTTTAGCAAAAATCGAACTTTCTTAAATAAATGATTTTTTTAGGTATACCACACTTTCCACGATGAAGTGGACGTGTATAAACAGCACTGGTGGCGTTGCAATGGAAGCTGTACAAACCGCGCACCATTTTTCGGCTATGTGAAACGTACCTCGAACCGGGCCCCGGGCCCAAACGACCAATGGTGGGCAGCGCATCAGGAGTCCTGCGGAGGCACCTTTATGAAAATCAAGGGTCCAGATAAGCCAAAGAAGCAAAAAACGTCAAAGGATACAAAACCAGCAACCGGCAAGGATCTACGTACATTCTTTCCCACTGTGGATAAAAGAATAAGCTCAACACCCAAATTATCCGATGCAAATAACGTGAGAAGCTTTGAAAATGGCATTACAGGTTTTGGTGGCACTAAAGGTGCGTTTCTTATTTTTTACCCACTCTGTAAGCGCCTGCAAAGCTTTCGTTTTTTTTTTTTTATAGGACCAATCAAAACCAACGGCGGCGGTACGCTTCTCTTGAACCCTAAAACCAAGCCACCTCCCTCTAAATCAAACGATCGCCAGTCTACCATTGCTTCTGCCTTTCCACCCTCTTCTTATCCAGGTCTATCGAATGATCCATTCAATGTACCAGCAAGTAATTCCAATAGCTCTCCCTTCAGCCGTACTCCGGCAGGTGGAAACTTGAAAAACGTTGTTGGTTTTGCAAATTTAAATGGTAGCGGGGGTGGTGGCTCCGCTGGTCGAATCAACGCCAGTAAGCCAAATGCAGCTTTTGTAGGTAGTGGTTGCCAAGTGGGAGCCAACCCCACGTCGGGTGTAAGTTCCAAGAATAGTCCTGGAAGAGAGGTGGATCGTAAACAGTTGCGTGAATTGTGGCTAAAACGTTTTGCCAATAATAGTGATAATGGAAATTCTGATTCCTTAGTAAATAACAAAAAAAAATGTGTGCCTAGCTTTGAAAGCGATGCAGAAGCGCCAGTAGGTGAGGGAATAAAACCCTTCCACTCCTAAGAGATTTCAAATCTTTTTTTCTTTAAGGTGATGTGAAGCGTAGGCGCCTCTCAAATAAAGTTTCTCCAACACGGAACATTCCTGAAGACAAGCAGAAAAACGACGATTGGCTGGTGCTGGATGACGAGATTATGTTAAGGGAGCCTACAACGGAGACTATTGCGATACTGTCTGACGATGAAAGCGATGAAAATGACAATGCGATGGAGGAGAGTGGTGCTATAGAACAGCCGTCAAAACGTTCCACGCCGCTCACTGCTGATGAACGTCAAAAAGCTATCAAGCAGGAGATTCTCGAAGACACAGCCGATTTGTTGGATGAGGACATCATTCTTATTGATGATGAGTATGACGACAATGCGCAAGAGAGTAACGATTTGCAGAATATATCAGCTGCTGCCGAATTAGCCGACACATCGGTGATAGATGAGTTCTTTGGCGACGATACAATGATGAAGGATTTCAACCGTGAGAATGATGTTAAACCGTCTGGGTCTCGTCATTTCCCCAATCCAAATGATGATATAATTACATGTCCTATTTGTCAAGGAAAAATGAAACGTTGTTTATTTGCCGACCACATGGACGGATGTACTGGTATTGCCATTAAAGTCGCTTTCCCCAAACATACACTCAAAAAACTAGCGGCTACATCACGCCCAGTAAAACCAACTGCCAAATCACGTCCCTCTCGTAAGGAAATCCTACGTAATGCCGGATATTCCGAACAGGATTTAATCAATCTTACATCAGCGAGCGAAGAAGAACTTTCCAGTTGCAACACCTCTCCACCTCGTCCCAATGGCAATTCAACGTCCAACGAATGGAGTCCAGAAGATATGGAAACCAGGTTGTATCGTCAGAGAAATATTCTGAAAAGCACTATTCAATGTCCTAATTGTGGGCAGGAGGTTGAGCAAAACACAATCAACGATCACCTGGATGATTGCCTTTCCCAGTAAATTAGTTAGATTTTCAATATATTAAAAAAAAATCAAACTTTTTATATTACATGGTTTGTTTAAGTTGATCACAATCGCACGTACACTGTTGTTAAAGCTCAGTTTTAGCCGTTTCATAAAATTGATCACATAATTTTTCCGAAGTATTTGACGTTGTTGACGTTTTTGTAACTTTCGGCTAGCGCTGGCCATTGTACAACTAGTAAATCAAGGATCGGACGAAGCAATTTTGCGCTGAGCGATAGTGTACGAACCCGACACCAACTTTCCACATATACGATCTTTGTTTTAGAAGACAGGCGCCCAAGTTTTTTCCACAGGAACACAGCAATGCAAAATGGAAGACAAGTACCCGGACCATTGCACAGTAATAGCTTTGGTTGGTCATACCACACTAGCCAGAAACTACACAATAGTGCCCAAAGTGTTGTGAACACACTACTCAAGTAACTCTGACCAACCTTCCGACTACGAGGTACATAGATAAATGAAGTATCATCCAGTGCTACACCAACTTTTTGCATGACGCCCGTGATTCTGCTTCGTGAGGTTGTATCATCATTGGCGATAACATATCGTAGAGGATTGTAAATTTCCTTTCCGCTGTCAGTTCGTAAAAGGGCCATATTTATAGTACACATCTCGGCAGTATGACCACCGGATCCAAGAACAATGTAAACGGGAAAATTATCCAAGTTTTTTGTTGGAGCCATTTCCATAACCTGATTGGTTTTAGTTCACCTTCCGGTGTAAATAAAACAAAACGGTGACCACTTAATCAGCTGGCTCAATTGTGAATTAATGCGGCAAACTTAGAGATGGGATTTTTTTAATCCTGATAAGCGACGTCAGCATTTTTGAAATAGAGCCCATTGATCGCGCATATCCTTTTTAAACGCCTCTACGTTACGGGAAAAGTAATTAAAAATGTATGCATAAGTCATGATAGTTTTTTTGTTTATTAAGGAAATCTGAATAACCGGTCAGAAACGCACATCGCTATGCAAAGTGCTCACAGACGTCCGCGGTCATTCTATGTTCCATAGGACTTAATTTTTTACCATGACGGCGCTTCTATACGCTGATCCGGATTTGATATTTGCTTTGAATAGAAAAGTTATATTTGTAAATCCAAATGACTTGCAAATATTTAAAGAGATCGAGTTGCCTGCTGATTTAAGGGACTTGGGACTTAAAACCCCTAAAAGTTCCGAAGAAGAAGCTGCAACTAGGAGTGAGCAATCGAAGAAGCCGAAAGAAGTTAACATTGAGGAGCCTAGCATACTGCATGTGAAACTATCGCCCGATAGACAGCTGTGTGCAGTAACCACATCTGGACAAAAAGCCGTCCTTCTGTACCAATGTCGGCCTGAACACGCTAAGCTTATCTCAGTTCGTCCACTGGCACGTGCCTCCAGCGCTCTTACATTCAATAAAGATTCAAATATTCTTCTAGTGACAGACAAGTCAGGTGACTGCTATAAATATGATTGTGTAGAATTGGAAGATGAACCGCGTCTTTTACTCGGCCATCTTAGTATAGTGTACGATGTTCTATGGACTCCAGATAACAAATATATTATCACCTGCGACAGGGATGATAAAATTCGTGTAACAAACTATCCTGCAACGCATGATATACACGGTTATTGTTTGGGGCATAAGGAATTTGTTTCTGGACTTGCTTTATTAGATAAAGATACAATTGTATCTGTATCTGGGGACAAAACCTTGCGTATATGGGATTTTATTACTGGTCGGGAGTTGTCTAAGATGGAACTACCAGCACCTGCTTTACGTATTTGTTTGCGTTCTATTGATAAAGAAACATTCCAGGCTGCAGTTGTACTCTACCAACCCGATGAATGCATTGGTATTTATGAGATTAGAAAATCCGACGCTGAAGAATGGAAAATAACAGAACAAAAAGTACTTAGGTTTCCAAAAGTGATCATTAGCAATATATGCTTTGTGGGTGAAAGACTGTATGCCGCCGGTGTTGTTGAGGACCGATTTACCCTTAAAATATCCACGTTATCGGAGAAAGTACCACAGGCAGCGGAAAAGTGGATTACGATGATAGAAGAGCAATTTAAAACCGAGGAATGGAAGCCTGAGGATGTATCGGCGTGGTTCAAAAAGCGGTATGACAACGTCAGCGATTATTTGGAACGTAAGAAAAGACGGATCGAAGAAAAACAAAAATAGTGAAATACATACATACGTAGATAGATACAAAATTGAAAAGTAAATAAAGTTTATATTGCAACTCTAGTAATTTTGTCGCAAATTAGTTTTTATTTTAAATTAAACCGGCTTATAATCCAATTTACTTTCCAATTTCTTATTGTCAGCTACCTTGCGCACAGCTTTCATGAAGTCCTCTTGGATGACATATTCCCGGTCAGCTCTAGTTTTTGAGAGAAATATTCGATAAAAACAAAATATAGCAGCAATTACGTTTGTTATTACCTAATAGCGAAAAGACCGGCTTCGGTGCAAACATTTCTTAAATCAGCACCGTTGAAGTTGTCTGACAATTTTACAATAGCTTCATAGTCGATTTCTCCATGCTTTGCAATTTTGGCTGCATGAATCTTTAGGATCTCCATTCTGCGGAATATGAAAATATGTTAAAATTTGAAATATCAAGACAACAAATGTGTAATAGGTATGTACATACAAATGTTACTTACCGCGCCTGCTCATTGGGCAGTGGTATTTCAATTTTTCGATCCAAACGACCTGGACGCAAAAGGGCTGGATCTAGAGTATCTGGCCTATTCGTAGCCATAATCATTTTCACTTGACCGAGCGAGTCAAAACCGTCCATTTGGTTAAGCAGCTCCATAAGTGTGCGCTGAATTTCGCGATCTGCTGATGTGCCCTCAGAGAAACGGCGGCCACCGATGGCGTCAATTTCATCCATGAAAATAATGCAGGGCTGATGATCCCGAGCATAGTTGAACATCTCACGGATGAGACGTGCACTCTCGCCAATATATTTGTCAACAATTGCTGATGAAACCACTTTCAAAAAATTGGCATCTAGTTGCGAAGCTACGGCTCTAGCTAATAAAGTTTTTCCGGTACCAGGTGGTCCATACAACAGACAACCTTTTGGCGGTGTGATGCCTACACGCAGAAACAGCTCGGGATTTAGTAGTGGGAGTTCTATGACTTCACGCAATTCCCGAATCTGTTCAGAAAGACCGCCAATAGCTGAATATTTCACTTCACCAGGATCTTCGTGGGACATATTGTAAACAAGTGGATCGACCTCGCGTGGCAAATATCTCATAATAGTAAGAGTGGTCATATCGAGAGCAACACGAGTGCCCGATTTTAACTTGGTTTTATCCAATTGCCGCCGACAGCCTACCACATATCGGGGACCATTTGTGGCTTTCACAATGACTTAATTGAAAAAATGCAGAAAGAATTAATGGAATTATTGTTAGACGCATATTACTTACACTTATCTTCGGTCAATTGTTTGAGAACTTCTCCAACAATTTGCCCAACACTTTGTAGTGCTTTAAGATCATTTTCTGATTTATCATACTGTTTAGTAAGCTCTTTGATTTCCTCGCGTTCTAACAAATTTCATTATAAGTAGTTAGTTTTAATCAAGTTTACAAATACAAACTGATAGAAGCATGTACTCACTTTCCTTCAGACGAGACTCTACCTCCTTATGTTCTAGAAGCTTTTTCCTGTATTCCACAAGAGCCTTTTCACGAACACCCTCTGCTGGCACACCTCCAGTAGTCATAATGAATTAATTTAGTTCCTTTAATTAAATTTAAAAACTTTCAATTATTTTTTCCTTTATATCAGTGATTTTGCTATTTTACGGGGGTGCTTCTTCTTCTAATTGGTGGACGTTCGCAATTTTAATTTGGTCCCAAACCGATTCCGGTAGTGCATTTGGTCCCAAACCGATTACGGTAGTGCAGTAAGCTGCCATATTTGTTAAGAAATATTTCATTTGCAGTTCATAATTATAGTACATGTTTCTATATTCGCATTGTTTTCTAACCACTAATAATATATACCATGATAATAATAACGTATCAATAGACTCATACAAACTTCGAAATTGTCTAAAATCGTTTGTACTATATAATTTAAGATATTTGCTTATTTTTACATCACTTTCTACCATGATAAAAACATATATACATATATATATATTTTTATCATGCTTTCTACCACGTTCTAAGATACATCTCTGTTCTTACCGTCTTATGCAATATTTGACAGTTCTTGATAGCTCTATTTTTTGCTAATTGACCTGTTGTAGACCAGGTGGACAATATAAAAATTGTATTTTGGAAGCTGTAGAATCATACAGGTATTTCTCAGCAAAATGGCGAGTTTTCTGCAAGTTTCACGTTCACTGTGCGCTCACAGCCGCAAATATAGTTCCAAAATACAGGATGTAGTGATTGTTTCCGCTGCCCGCACTCCAATAGGAAGTTTTCAGAGTCAGTTAGCTCCCCTATCGGCAACGCAATTAGGAGCAGTAGCAGTTGAAGCTGCAGTACAGCGCTCTGGAATCAGTAAAGATCAAGTTGATGAGGTGATTATGGGCAATGTGGTGTCTGCGGGTTTGGGCCAAGCACCAGCTCGTCAGGCAGCAATTTTCGCCGGCCTACCCAAAAATGTGTGTTGCACGACAGTGAATAAAGTCTGCTCTTCGGGAATGAAGGCCGTCATGCTGGGCGCACAGTCGCTGATGTTGGGTCAGGCAGAAATTGTGGTCGCAGGTGGAATGGAGTCAATGTCGAATGCACCGTATTACATGAAACGAGGCCCCACTCCGTATGGAGGTATTCAACTCATTGATGGTATTGTATTTGATGGCCTCACCGATGTATACAACAAGTTCCATATGGGTAACTGCGCTGAAAATACAGCGAAAAAAATGGGTATAAGTCGCCAGGAGCAAGACGAATTTGCCATACAATCGTATAAACGCTCAGCCAAAGCATGGACTGACAAGGTTTTTCATGCTGAAATCGCTCCTGTAAAGATACAACTGAAACGCAAACCAGAAGTTGTTGTCTCCGAAGACGAGGAGTACAAGCGCGTCAATTTCGATAAATTTGGGCAGCTAGCTACCGTATTTCAGAGAGAGAATGGCACGGTCACAGCGGGAAATGCTTCGACCTTGAATGACGGTGGAGCTGCCACTGTGCTTATGACCGCAGAGGCAGCAGACCGTTTGAAACTAAAGCCTCTTGCGCGTATTGTTGCCTTCCAAGATGCCGAAACTGATCCCATTGATTTTCCGATCGCACCTGCATTTGCAGTGCCCAAGTTATTGCAGCGAGCCGGTGTTAATAAGCAAGATGTTGCAATTTGGGAAATCAATGAAGCCTTTTCTGTGGTTGTATTGGCTAATATAAAGAAACTGGATGTAGACCCGGCTAAGGTAAACATACATGGCGGTGCTGTATCCATTGGCCATCCAATCGGCATGTCTGGTGCGCGTTTGGTAACACACTTGTCACATGCACTGAAACCGGGGGAGCTTGGATGCGCTTCAATATGTAACGGTGGTGGCGGTGCGTCTTCCATTCTAATACAAAAATTATAAATGGAAATGGGAAAAGATATATGTATGTAAATTATAGGAAAAAACCAGATGTGCATTTATTTTTATACATTTTTTTATTGGAAACTCGTTTTAAGTATAAAGCTGTTAAAACATACATACATACATACATATCATGGTACATAAAATAAATTTTAAATTCTGTTACATAAGTACATAGATTTTGGAAATTAGAAATGTTGTTGTTGTTGTTGTAGCGGCTACAACAACCCCGCCCAAATCGGTTGGTATCTCAGTCATTGTCGTCAAGTTCCACTAACGGCAACCCTAGGAAGCGTGCAGCTTCTGTGGGATCTATCCACAGGGACAAGGCCGTTAGGGTTGTCGGGTTTTCCGGGCATGCGAAGAGATGGTTCGAGTCGTGTGGGGTCTCTCCGCATGCCGGACATTCGTTCGGCGCATCCGCATTTAACCTAGACAGGTAGGAATTTAGCCTGCTGCAGTAGCCAGAGCGAAGTTGGGCTATTGTCGTTCTGGTCTCCCGAGGCAGATGGAGCTCCGTCATGTCGGTGTCCGGTGTTTGTGTGCCTAGAACGGCATTCACAGGTCTTGAGTCTACATAACTCGAGACTGCGTCCCTGTGAATGTCGTTCAGGGCCTTTCTATGAGCTGACGGGTCCAGAGGTTGCTTAATGAACCTCTGGATTTCGTCCGTCAGTTCATATAGATGCCTCCTGACGTGCCCCGGCGAGGGCTCCTCTGCAAGCAGCTGTCTATTTGGGTGGCCACATCTGTGGCTCCCAATAAGAAACTGCTTGCAGAGCATCGTGTTGTGCTCCCTAATTGGGAGCATTTTCGCCTCGCCGTGCAAGTGGTGTTCAGGCGACATCAGGAGGCATCCCGTCGCTGTCCTAGGTGCCGTATTTTGTACCGTCTGTAGCTTCGTCCACTGCGTCCTACTAGTCCCTGGCGATCACACTGGCGCTGCGTAGTTCAAAACCGGCCGGCCTATTGCCTTGTATGTTGCCAGCAACGTTTCTTTGTCTTTGCCCCAAGTACTGCCGGCTAGCGACTTGAGGACCTTGTTGCGGCTCTGTACTTTATTGACAATAGCGGTTGAGTGCGCAGAGAAGGAGAGCAGGCTGTCGAATGTTACTCCGAGTATTTTGGGGTTATTCACCGTCGGAATTGGTGTGTCATCGACGTGAATCCCCAGCGGTAGCCTGACCTCCTTCGTCCAGGTTGTGAACAGGGTCGCGGAGGATTTCGTAGGGGAGAGGGCTAGACACTTTGCAGTGAAGAAGCGAGAAAGTTCGGAGAGATAGCCGTTTACTTTCGAACACAGGTCATCAATTCCATTCCCAGTCGCCATGATCGAGCAATCGTCGGCATAAGAGACAATCGAGACTCCCTCTGGTGGTTGAGGGAGCTTTGAAATATAAAAGTTAAACAGTAGCGGGGAAAGGACACCACCCTGAGGAACCCCCTGTTTTATTTTTCGCTGCTTACTCGTTTTGTCTCTAAACATTACCGACGAATGTCGACCACTCAGATAATTTGCCGACCACCGTTTGAGCCTCTGTGGGAGAGAGGAGGCCTCTATATCTTCTAGTAGCGTGGAATGGCAGACGGTGTCAAACGCCTTTGACAAGTCCAACGCTACTAGAATCGTTCTCTCACAGGGAC